GGTGGAGTGCGCACCCCCGCACTGCTCACCCGTGCGGTCGCCGGTGCGTAGGACGTAGGTGCACGGACCAGTACCCCCACCCCGCTGGCGTGCAGCGTACCACTCACGGAGCTGCTGAGGGGGGGGGATGTCACGAGTGCGCTGCTGCCGCTGCTGCTGCTGCTGATGGCGCTGACCACCACCGGAGCCGACCCTCTGCCCAGCGCCACCCCGACCAGCTCCACCTCCTCCGCCGCCGCCTCCTCCACCGCCGCCACCTCCGCCACCTCCGCTCCCACCGCCACCGCCGCCGCCGCCTCCGCTGCCGCCACCGACACCTCCACCCCCGCCACCACTCCCACCACCACCCCCACCCCCTCCACTGCCGCCACCGCCACCTCCGCCACCCCCGCCAGCCCCTCCAGCACCCTTGCCCCCCTTGCCCTTGCCGGTGCGGCGTCTCCCGCTCGGGGCAGACGCAGCGCCGACCGACTCGAGACCAACGAGGTCGGCCGCAGCAGCAGAGGCAACAGAGGGCAAAAGGGGGGAGGGGGAACACCCCTCAAAGACGGGGGTGCGAGGGTCACCACGAGAGGCTCCTACAGCGACTATGCTCTTCTCTGCTGCTAGGAGGGCCTTCTCGAGGAGGTCAACGGTGAGAGTGGTGGGGCAAACTGAGAGGAAGTGGTCCCTGACTACACGAAGGGAGTCAGGGAGCCGGGTGACTATGTAGTAGAGGGTGATGTACATGGGGGGGGGGGGTTCTTGGCGCAGAACTCAGCAGGAAGCGCAGCGCGGTAGCGAGTGTCACTAGTGCGGAGGTGCGTAATGAGGTCAGCGACTGTGGGAAAGGCAGCAAGGTCAGGGAAGAGGTACGGTAGCATGAGGCGGCTCAGTGCAGCAGTGGCAGGGGAGGAGTAGCGCGCAACTACAGCGTCGTACAAGGTGTGAGCACTCTTGTACTGGCTAAAGTGCGCACGCTCAGAGGTAGGCAGGTGGCGACGCACAGCTAGACGTGCAGCAGCATCGCGTGTGGCCCACTGTGAGCGAACAGTGGCGTCGGCATCAGCAGCAGGGGCAGGAGAGGCACCAGAGGTGAGGTCAAAGAGGGAGAGACCGTCTGCCCTATCGCACTGTAAGAAAAGCTGCAGGTCATCTACCCAGACGTCAAAGTCAATGGCCCGACCCTCAGCGTCAAAGGCGAGGACACTAGGGGTAGCCATGAGAGCAGTAGACTAGCAGTGTGAACAGTAGGGTAAGGGCAGTGCAGTGATAGAGGCGCTGCTCTTACCGGACAGGGCGGCTCGGGCGGCTCGGCGGCTCGGCGGCTCGGCAGGACGGCGGCTCGGGCGGCTCGGCGGCTCGGGCGGCTCGGGCGGCTCGGCAGTCGGCTGCTGGGCGGCTCGGCGGCTCGGCTGCTCGGCTGCAGGACGGCTCGGCGGCTCGGGTGCTCGGCTGCTGGGCGGCTCGGCGGCTGGTGTGGTTGGTGACGACCGCGGCAGCAGTCGCAGAAGCTGTGGCGACTGCTGCTGCAGAGACGGCTGCGGCTGCTGCCTCAGGGACGGCGGCTGCCGGCCGCTAGGGGCCGCGAAGAGCGGCGGAGAGGCCGTGAAGGGCGCCACGAGGGGCCGTCGAGGGCGGCGACAGGCCGTGCGAAGGCCGCGGAAGGCGGCTCGAGGGGCCGCGAGGGGGGGGCCGTAAGGGGCCGACTGGCGACGGGAGGGGCCGAAGGGGCCGCGGGAGGGCCCGTAAGGGTAGCGCGAGGGGCCGTAAGGGCGGCACGAGGGGCCGTAAGGGCGGCACAAGGGGCCGTGAGGGCGGCGCGACGGGCGCGACGGGCCGTAAGGGCGGCGCGACGGGCCGTAAGGGCGGCACGAGGGGCCGTGAGGGCGGCGCGACGGGCGCGACGGGCCGTAAGGGCGGCGCGACGGGCCGTAAGGGCGGCGCGACGAGCCGTAAGGGCGGCGCTAGGGAGCCGTGAGAGGGCCGCTAAGGGCGACGCGACGGGGCCGTGAGAGGCCTAGCGAGGGCGCAACGGTAGGGAGAGCACACAGGGCGCGACTCGGGCCGGAGCGAAGCGCTCTCCGGGCAGGAAAAAAAAAAAAAAATCGTGGTGGTGGGCCCTAGGAATTGTTCCCACTAGGGAACCTGCTCGATACCATGAGAAGAAACGAGGAATGAATTGACTAAGGGAAAGTTGGGTACAAATGTAAACCCTAGAAAACAGTACCCCATATGTGCTACCCCACTATAGCCTACAGTAGCTATGTCATATAAATCTGACACATGGAATGGTACTGGATGAGATTTGCACGCGTTGTGTGGGCGACGTTCCAAGAATGCTCGACTTTTCCACATCTTCTTGGATTTCATTCATACAGAAGGGACACCCACTTGTTCGCCTCTCACTTGAAAAAACTTCTACCGGAACGTGTTCACTTTACATGCGCAATGTTTCTGACTCAAGTGGTTATTCGTCTTGCACCCACTTGTTCGCCTCTCACTTGAAAAAACTTCTACCGGAACGTGTTCACTTTATATGCGCAATGTTTCTGACTCAAGTGGTTATTCGTCTTGCACCCACTTGTTCGCCTCTCACTTGAAAAAACTTCTACCGGAACGTGTTCACTTTACATGCGCAATGTTTCTGACTCAAGTGGTTCTTCGTCTTGCACTTTGTCGATATAAATTGAACGAGCACTGTTTCCTCGGGCAAAAGTTCCCGAATCCTTCCGTTCGTTGAGATTGATCGACGATTCCGAGACTCCTTCCACTTCATCAATACGAGCATGTCGTGCATTGGTTGCTCGTTCAAACAGAACACCTTCGAATGGAAGATTCTCATGCTGCATGCGGTACATTTCTGGTTCAGCTCCTCTGTCAGGTATGCTTGACACTTCCACATTAGTACAAGTAGCTTGTGTGCAACCTTCTCCTTAACAAATCGCCTGCGAAATACATACCTTCGCCTTAACTCACCATCAAGCGAAGGCCCCGTGAAAAGCTGTAATGAAGAAGACTCCATACCAAAACGAATACAAGCGTGCGCAAAAATGCCTCCCTTGTTTACCTGAGTACACACACAATTTCACATTAGCAAATAACAAGGGACAAACGGATGATAAGATAAGCTGAAACGAGTTGGATGTTTACTTGCATTGTACAATGGTATGAAAATTTAAACTTAATAAAAAACATACCAATACTTAGCAAATGATAGTGAAATCCGTTTCACTAGCACACGTGATGAAATATGCTCTATCAAGTCAAATAAAGCAATATATACAAACAATACAATCAAATTTATTTATAATTTATATTTTATCGATGAGTCATATTGCTTACTAAGATCACTTCAGCAGTCTTCGCAATGCTAGAGTAGAACAATGATATCGGATATATTGCCGATGGTTCTGCAAGAAAATGAACAGAAAATGAACAGAAAATGAACAGAAAATGAACAGAAAATGAACATAATATATTTCACAAGAAACAAGATTTTGATAACAATCTTTCTATTTTATTATATTGCTAAATCATTCATTCCATAGTACAACAAACCAAAATACCTACTTGGATTCACCAAACACTCGTCAACTGACAGTAAACCCTGAACCCTAAACTCTGATACACTTTCAGATGAACTAAAAAGGAAAAAAAAAATCAAATCAAACAAAAAATATATAAAATGTGTGCTGTAATTACTGTAGTGTTTGTGGTATTTCCTGTTGGTGGTGCACCTCCCTTGTTTCCTATTTGTACCTTGCTCAATAGTGAAACATCCTCTTTGGCCAATTCCTCTCGACTTCCTAGCTCCAGCTTCTCTCAAACCCTAGCTATGGCTCCCTAGCCTAAGAGCTCATCTTGACGATTATGAAGTGAGCGCTAAATGCGCAAGGGAATGGGGGGAAAGACAGGAAGTGAGGGCTGAAGGCGCAAGGGATGATGGAATCAATCAAGTAAGCGATTCGTGCCTCAGGTGGCGCTGGCCAAGTCCCGGCCGCGGAACTGCTCCCCACAACCCCCCTTCCACCGTTTCTCTTTCTGACTGGCCTCTCCTCCGCACCCTTCCCGGCACAGGCAGTGGCAGTGATGGAGCAGCGGGCGGGCCGTGTGGCTCAAGCGGCCTCCATGGTGTCCGTGAGTACCTTGCATCATCAACCCTCTGCCTCATGCATGCTCTGTGCTTCGCATGTGCCTGTGCTGGCCCACTCACACCTCTTTCTCCTTGCAGCAGGAGGCTGAGGAGAGGGGGGCAGTGCGGAAGTAGGAGCAGCTGGTGGAGGGGGGGACGAGGGCGGTGGGGGGGCAGAGGAGCGTTTCAAAGGAGATGGATGCGGCTGACGACCCCATCCAGGACGATGTGAGCCAAGGGGTTTCAAGGGCGACGGGGTGGGGATAAGGGTGAGGATGGTGACGGGATTGACGGGGGGCGGTGCTGCTGCTAAGAGTGTGAGGCGACGCCCTCTACCTGTGAGGCTCAACAATCTGAGGTGGGCGCTCCAACTAGTGGGAGTGGGGAAGAGGGGGTGGGAGAGTGGAGACGGCGGGTGGGAGATTGGGAGGTGGGAGAGGGGAGACTGGAGAATGGGGAATGGGGAGAAGGGATGCGGGAGAGTGGGGTTGGGAGAAGGCTGGATGAAAGAAGGGCGTCTTCTCACTGCGCGCCCTGCGCCGTTCCCAGACCTATCTCGCCTCATCCCCGACCACCCGGTCCTCTTGGTGGCCCTCTTGTCCCTGTTTTTGGTCATGGGGCAGCCGATAGTGACGTCGGTTACCCATGACTCGCCTATAATTCTGTGCCGTAGCACGACTTGGGCGCGAAGTGAGTCATCGTGGCAGCATAGAGGGTTGATGGCTTGTGCACGATGAAACCCGCCTTCCGTGCCATTCGTGCCACCACGTTAGCCAGGTTGTTGTGGGTGGTGCTGCGATCAGCTCCGTCCCGTTCCCGCACCTAGGAGGTGGTTGGGGAGACAAGTGTCTGAAATGCCTCCTTTTTGCAGATGCAGTTGCCCGGAATGTTCATGGGCAGTCCCATTATTGAGAATTGCAGTGGGCGGAGGCTAAGGTCCTGGCTGATGGGTGTGGCCAGCAACCAATCCCCCGCCCCCGGCCCCTTCAGCGAGGTGAGTGGCCGGGTGTGGTCAAGGGCCGATGTGGTGACCCTGTGCCGTGAGCCGTCAATGAGGGCAGCAACACGGTCCCGGTTGATGAGCACAGAGAGGCGATGCTGCAGCTGGGTTTTTGCGGGCTCTGTTCGTTCCGCTGCGAACAGCGTCTGGGCGTCTTTAGGTAGCGTGTGTAGCGGAAAGTTGAGTATGCTGCGAGTATGAGTGATGTTGTGGTTGCTTGCAGACTAGGTTGTATGTGAAGAGAGATATAGATAGGAGGGGGCTGGGAATGGGGGAAAGCCTGAAACCATATGCTGCATGGGAGGGGTATGAGGTTTGATGAGGGGTGGAGAACAAGAACTAGCAAGTGAAAGCGCTTTCCTGGTGAAGGATGCAACTAAGGTAGGCTAAGGTGGGGTCGGGATCCATGGCTAAGGTGAATCGGGATCCATGGCTTTGGGTCTTGGGCTGTGAAGCTGGTAGCAGGTCCGCAAGGGGGTTGGGCAACGACTCTTTGCAGTGTGAACCTGTTGCTAGTATATCATGAATGCTTAAGCGAATGTCGTATGCAGCCTGAGATGTTTGTTAGAGGAGTTTGGCGGAGGGCCCCGCGGCCGCCGGCGGGGGGGGGGGGGCGGCCGCCGGCGGGGGGGGGTGTGGGGGGGGGGGGGGTGGGGGGGAGGCCCCGCGCGCGCGGGGCCCCTCCGCCGGCGGGGGTCGCGCGCGCGCGGCGGGCGGGCGCGGGGCCGGCGGAGGGGCCCCGCGCGCGCGGCCGCCGGCGGGCGCGGGCCCCGCGCGCGCGGCGGGCGGGCGCGGGGCCGGCGGAGGGGCCCCGCGGGCGCGGCCGCCGGCGGGCGCGGGCCCCGCGCGCGCGGCGGGCTGGCGCGGGGCCGACGGAGGGACCCCGCGCGCGCGGCCGCCGGCGGGCGCGGGCCCCGCGCGCGCGGCGGCGGGCGGGCGCGGGGCCGGCGGAGGGGCCCCGCGAGCGCGGGCCCCGCGCGCGCGGCCGCCGGCGGGCGCGGGGCCGGCGGAGGGGCCCCGCGGGCGCGGCCGCCGGCGGGCGCGGGGCCGGCGGAGGGGCCCCGCGGGCGCGGCCGCCGGCGGGCGCGGGCCCAGCGCGCGCGGCGGCGGGCGGGCGCGGGGCCGGCGGAGGGGCCCCGCGGGCGCGGCCGCCGGCGGGCGCGGGCCCCGCGCGCGCGGCGGGCGGGCGCGGGGCCGGCGGAGGGGCCCCGCGGGCGCGGCCGCCGGCGGGCGCGGGCCCCGCGCGCGCGGCGGGCGGGCGCGGGGCCGGCGGAGGGGCCCCGCGCGCGCGGCCGCCGGCGGGCGCGGGCCCCGCGCGCGCGGCGGCGGGCGGGCGCGGGGCCGGCGGAGGGGCCCCGCGCGCGCGGCCGCCGGCGGGCGCGGGCCCCGCGCGCGCGGCGGCGGGCGGGCGCGGGGCCGGCGGAGGGGCCCCGCGCGCGCGGCCGCCGGCGGGCGCGGGCCCCGCGCGCGGCGGCGGGCGGGCGCGGGGCCGGCGGAGGGGCCCCGCGAGCGCGGGCCCCGCGCGCGCGGCCGCCGGCGGGCGCGGGCCCCGCGCGCGCGGCGGGCGGGCGCGGGGCCGGCGGAGGGGCCCCGCGCGCGCGGCCGCCGGCGGGCGCGGGCCCCGCGCGCGCGGCGGGCGGGCGCGGGGCCGGCGGAGGGACCCCGCGCGCGCGGCCGCCGGCGGGCGCGGGCCCCGCGCGCGCGGCGGCGGGCGGGCGCGGGGCCGGCGGAGGGGCCCCGCGAGCGCGGGCCCCGCGTGCGCGGCCGCCGGCGGGCGCGGGGCCGGCGGAGGGGCCCCGCGGGCGCGGCCGCCGGCGGGCGCGGGGCCGGCGGAGGGGCCCCGCGGGCGCGGCCGCCGGCGGGCGCGGGCCCCGCGCGCGCGGCGGGCGGGCGCGGGCCGGCGGAGGGGCCCCGCGCGCGCGGCCGCCGGCGGGCGCGGGCCCCGCGCGCGCGGCGGCGGGCGGGCGCGGGGCCGGCGGAGGGGCCCCGCGCGCGCGGCCGCCGGCGGGCGCGGGCCCCGCGCGCGGCGGCGGGCGGGCGCGGGGCCGGCGGAGGGGCCCCGCGAGCGCGGGCCCCGCGCGCGCGGCCGCCGGCGGGCGCGGGCCCCGCGCGCGCGGCGGGCGGGCGCGGGGCCGGCGGAGGGGCCCCGCGCGCGCGGCCGCCGGCGGGCGCGGGCCCCGCGCGCGCGGCGGGCGGGCGCGGGGCCGGCGGAGGGACCCCGCGCGCGCGGCCGCCGGCGGGCGCGGGCCCCGCGCGCGCGGCGGCGGGCGGGCGCGGGGCCGGCGGAGGGGCCCCGCGAGCGCGGGCCCCGCGCGCGCGGCCGCCGGCGGGCGCGGGGCCGGCGGAGGGGCCCCGCGGGCGCGGCCGCCGGCGGGCGCGGGCCCAGCGCGCGCGGCGGCGGGCGGGCGCGGGGCCGGCGGAGGGGCCCCGCGGGCGCGGCCGCCGGCGGGCGCGGGCCCCGCGCGCGCGGCGGGCGGGCGCGGGGCCGGCGGAGGGGCCCCGCGGGCGCGGGCCCCGCGCGCGCGGCGGGCGGGCGCGGGGCCGGCGGAGGGACCCCGCGCGCGCGGCCGCCGGCGGGCGCGGGCCCCGCGCGCGCGGCGGGCGGGCGCGGGGCCGGCGGAGGGGCCCCGCGGGCGCGGCCGCCGGCGGCCGCGAGCCCCGCGCGCGCGGCGGCGGGCGGGCGCGGGTCCGGCGGAGGGGCCCCGCGCGCGCGGCCGCCGGCGGGCGCAGGCCCCGCGCGCGCGGCGGGCGGGCGCGGGGCCGGCGCAGGGGCCCCGCGCGCGCGGTTGCCGGCGGGCGCGGGCCCCGCGCTTGCGGCGGGCGGGCGAGGGCCGGCGGAGGGGCCCCGCGCGCGCGGCCGCCGGCGGGCGCAGGCCCCGCGCGCGCGGCCGCCGGCGGGCGCGGGCCCCGCGCGCGCGGCGGGCGGGCGCGGGGCCGGCGGAGGGGCCCCGCGGGCACGGCCGCCGGCGGCCGCAGGCCCCGCGCGCGCGGCGGCGGGCGGGCGCGGGGCCGGCGGAGGGGCCCCGCGGGCGCGGGCCCCGCGCGCGCGGCGGCGGGCGGGCGCGGGGCCGGCGGAGGGGCCCCGCGGGCGCGGGCCCGGCGCGCGCGGCCGCCGGCGGGCGCGGGGCCGGCGGAGGGGCCCCGCGGGCGCGGCCGCCGGCGGGCGCGGGCCCAGCGCGCGCGGCGGCGGGCGGGCGCGGGGCCGGCGGAGGGGCCCCGCGGGCGCGGCCGCCGGCGGGCGCGGGCCCCGCGCGCGCGGCGGGCGGGCGCGGGGCCGGCGGAGGGGCCCCGCGGGCGCGGGCCCCGCGCGCGCGGCGGGCGGGCGCGGGGCCGGCGGAGGGACCCCGCGCGCGCGGCCGCCGGCGGGCGCGGGCCCCGCGCGCGCGGCGGGCGGGCGCGGGGCCGGCGGAGGGGCCCCACGGGCGCGGCCGCCGGCGGCCGCGAGCCCCGCGCGCGCGGCGGCGGGCGGGCGCGGGGCCGGCGGAGGGGCCCCGCGCGCGCGGCCGCCGGCGGGCGCAGGCCCCGCGCGCGCGGCGGGCGGGCGCGGGGCCGGCGCAGGGGCCCCGCGCGCGCGGTTGCCGGCGGGCGCGGGCCCCGCGCTTGCGGCGGGCGGGCGCGGGGCCGGCGGAGGGGCCCCGCGCGCGCGGCCGCCGGCGGGCGCAGGCCCCGCGCGCGCGGCCGCCGGCGGGCGCGGGCCCCGCGCGCGCGGCGGGCGGGCGCGGGGCCGGCGGAGGGGCCCCGCGGGCACGGCCGCCGGCGGCCGCAGGCCCCGCGCGCGCGGCGGCGGGCGGGCGCGGGGCCGGCGGAGGGGCCCCGCGGGCGCGGGCCCCGCGCGCGCGGCGGCGGGCGGGCGCGGGGCCGGCGGAGGGGCCCCGCGAGCGCGGGCCCCGCGCGCGCGGCCGCCGGCGGGCGCGGGGCCGGCGGAGGGGCCCCGCGGGCGCGGCCGCCGGCGGGCGCGGGCCCAGCGCGCGCGGCGGCGGGCGGGCGCGGGGCCGGCGGAGGGGACCCCGCGCGCGCGGCCGCCGGCGGGCGCGGGCCCCGCGCGCGCGGCCGGCGGGCGCGGGGCCGGCGGAGGGGACGTGCACAAGGGGATGGGAACCGGCGAGGAAAACTGAAGATGAGTGCTCGGCTTCCTGATTACCCCCTCTCAAAACCGGGAACGAGGGGACGTGCACAAGGGGTGATGGGCCTCGATCGTGCCCCAAGGCACGTTCAAGCTCAAGTGCCCAGATGTGGTGGCAGTCAAGAGGCATGGCGCCACGCAGGGTCCTCGCTATCGGATTTTTTGTTTGTTTTTCTAAGAAATCAGGGGTTTTTTTTCTATTAGTCTGGTTTTGCATAAATGGATTTGTTGGGTAATCTGATTGATCAGGAAGTGACCTGTATGTTTCATCTGATGATAGAGAACTGTATCTTCTGATTATTCTGATTTTCAGGCTCTTGCTCAGATTCTGTCTGAAACCGAACCGTACACAGCCCGCCGTGATCTAAGCCGTCAATCACGGCAGTTGCTATATTTCCAGCGGCGTGATTGCCGCCACGCCGCGCTCTCAAACACCACATGTAGTCAAGAGCAGCACTATGTTTAGCTAGATGCTGCCCAACGTGCATGGAAGCGGATGTATCTGTGGCATCTCTTCCTGCGATTGGTATGTTCAACACAGCACATGCTCCCAAGTGGGTAGCAGCGCCTCGCACCGATGATGAAGCAAGTTCACGTTGGACGAGGATGGGAATGGGGCACCGCGGTGCGTGCCCCATGCATGCACCAAACCTGCATCCATAAACCGTTGACGAGCCTTGATTTTCTTAAAGGCCAGGCTTCTCGCGCACCGTCCGTGTTACCTATTTCTGATGCACCCACCATTCCTCCAACAGCAAGTACCGAACCATGGCCCGAGGTCAATCTCTGTTGTACACTTAGCGACGAACCTGACGTAGCAACGCCTAGTAAGAGCACTGGGCATGTCGCTACTTCATCCGTCAGTGCAGTTCGTCACGCGGGGGGCGGTTCCTGATTCCCGAAGTTTGGCAAGTACACGCATAGCACTATCCGATTCGCGCGGACCCAAGTGCCACACGTCCGTATCACGCAGGCGACTCCGCGAACACCCGCAATACCAGGATCGCAACCGGCTCCTCATGCTGGTGGCTCACCTCGATCATTAGATCCTGACCCGTCAACCCCCATGATCCTGGTTCCGGATCCCAATTGTCTTCTGGCTGAGCTGCAGGCGAAATACAACGACATCTGGATTCGCCGGTTCCCATGGCTGTTGATATTCGCAGCGTATGGAATGGCGGCCGTTAATGAAATGTAGTATCTGCATGACATACGGGCCGCCCCACTCGCAGTATGGCAAGTCGGGAGAGGGCGGCATCGACATCCAGAAACAGACCATGCACAAGCATCGTCTGAGCCACAAGCATCGGGACGCCCGAGATTGCAAGACCTGAGCTGAAGGTGGGAGGGTTGCACAGCGCGGAATCGATGACTAATGAGGACGGTGAGGCCGAGACGAACTGCTTGAAACATCTGCTATTGCTTGTCTTCTTCATATGCAAGTCCGATACTCGGACTGCACTTTTTGTTTCTTTGGTTCACCTGTTGCACGAACTCCGTACATCCCTTACAAGGCAATCGAAACGTATCAGTCTGAGAAAGCCTTGGTTGTTTGGTTTATTATCTTGAGTTATTAGGATGGTGAACTATTTGCTTTTGCGTTTTTATTTTCGCAGGTACGGATTTCGGAGTTGACTGACGCGACAATGAAACACATGAGGAACCGTCAAATGCAGCACATCTGAGAGTCCCCCTTTCTGGGGATTCAGCTGGGCGAGAGCACGGATCGACGACGCGGGAAGCACCTCATCGTTTACCTACCATTTTTTAGGGACGAGAGGGTGGTCACCGAGTTTTTCGGTCATCTCACGGTTGAGAAATGCGACGCTTCCTCGCTACTAACCGTGTTATTGGCGCATCTTGAAAGCACAGGCATTGACATCCAGAAAATCTCAGGGATAAGCACGGATGGTGCCAACGTGATGACGGGAAATGATAACAGCCTGGTGACACAACTAAGGATGCGCGTCCAGCACCCAGTTGGGTGTCACTCCATCGCTCACAGGTAAGGTTGTTCTATATTATGTTTGCCGTTGTTTATATGTAAATACTTTGGTCTAATACGCTTCTTGTCTGTCTGTGCAGGGAGGCGCTAGCGGCAAAGGATGCCGCAACCGCCTTTCCGGACCTTGACATCGTGGACCAAGTCGTCCGCTCTCTTGCCGACATCCTGGGGCGCAAGATCGTGGTCCATAGCCAATTCTTGGAGCTGCAGCAAATTCTTCACGCGACAACGCTGGAGATGCAGGGCATTAAACACATCCGGTGGTTGTCGCGGGGAGATGCCGTGCAACGCCTCGTCGCGGTTTTACCTGCTGCGATCGTGCTGCCGTGGGAGCAGGATAAGGTCCGGTATCATTTGGTGACCTCCTTCAAGTTCCATTTTTTCCTCTTCTTCCTCGTTGACGTTCTCAAGGAGCTGAATAATACCAACAAGCATTTCCAGCGGAAACTGGTAAGTGTGTAGTCTTACGAGTTTAGTGTTGCGTGTTTTAGTGTTGCGCCTTGTCTTTGTGTATTTCCAAAATGCGCTCTCACACCAATATGATTATGCCGCAGGTGGACATCACCAAGCTGCGCATGCGGTACAACAGTCCTTATCGAAGCCAAGCTTTTTCTGCCGGATGCATATCCGGATGGCGTGGCAAGGCGAGACTGGGTGTGTGCTGGATGGTTCTCCTCGCTCCGCACCATCTTCAACGGCGCCAAGTAGAAGTTGCCTGGTAGGTGACGATGACATTGATGTACTAGCCCATTCGCATTATGTGTTGATGCTACCTAAATGGTTCACTAATTGGTGTGTTTTAATTGTATAGGTGTAAACTGGAAGAAGGCAGAACAAGAGCTGCTCCCCTTCACCAGGATGATGCATGCGCAGTTCAAGGACCAGTCGTTTCACAACTGCCTCAAGAACATGCCGAGGAGCGGAGACAAGGAGACGAGTTTCCCGAACCTCGTGCGTCTCTGGATCGCCATCTCTGTGTTGCCGCTCAGCACCGTGGAGTGTGAGCGCGGGTTAAGTCGGCAGAATGTGATCAAATCATGGCTCCGCAGAAATCTGTGCAACGCAAGGCTTGCCGACCTGATGAGCAGCTCGCTGCTGCAGTATGAGCCGGATTGGGACGATGTGGTGAAGCTGTGGCGCGCGGCTAAGAAGAGACTACCTACAAAGGAAGTTAGCGGGGCTGCCAAGGGTGAAGCAGCACTGTGCAAAGCACTAGCACCAGTGACTATAGCTGATGAGAAGGAGCCTGTTGATGAGCAGCAATGGAGGAAGAAGGTGAAGGCGAAGGCTGTTGAGTGATGCTACCATTCGCATTCACGTCTGTCTGCCTCCCATCATATCTTCGTGCGTTGCATGCGTGTTGTGAGTGTGTGCAAGAATTTGTGTTTTGTGCGGTTTGGTTTTTCTGAGTGTGTGTGTGAATGTTATTTGGCTTGAGCAGATATCTGAAGTGACTCCTCTGCTCAAGAGCTTTCCGAGGAACCAAGTATCGCTTCAATCGGAGCACGAACTAGAAAGTTACGAACGTTGGAGTTCGTATGCTTTTGATATTTGGTTGTGGTGACTATGGGAAGTTGTGGGGTTGACTCAATATGGGGTACAGACTTTTGGGGGTTGGGAAATTCGTCTTTTCTACTGTAGTTGCTGCCAAATGGTTGGGAGAAACCAAACCAGGTTGGCAAGTGTGGCCAAGTTGGGTTGAGGTGGATTGTGGAGGTTGGGATAGTGACAAAGGTCAAAGTTGGGTTGCCTATGGGGAAGGGAATTGTATGGCATGGGGTTTCCTTGGTTGGGGACTCTCTTGGGACCTTCCCTCTCGTCCTCCTCATCCCCTCCTACCTGGTTCTATTGCTACTCTAACTTTCTTGTGTGAACTTGTGAGATCATTGTGATTGAGTTACGTTTTCTATGGCAGCATACCCCCTAGTGCGCCGAAGTTCATAACTCGAGTTATACTCCATATTCTGATACTATTCAAATTGGGAAAGATAGCCACGGTCAAGGGCTACAACATACTCGAGTTTGAAAGAATTCTAACAGTGGAACTTTCGTCGACGACGTTTCTTGTGACGACGACTTTTCTGTCCAGAATTGTAGTTGACGATTTTGAGATATTTCAGCCCCTAATCTTCATAGACTCCGTCCTTAATCTCTAACAAGTGGTATCAGAGCGATTAAGGACCTTGTGGGGAGTCTACTGAAGTGTGAAGACCCTCCTAGACCCACCATGGCCTGTGGGCGTGCCTAAGTGGAGTTCTGGAGGTTGGATGTGACTTCCGCTAAGGGGAAACTCTGCCGAAATTTCGTTGGCGCTGACACTTGTGAAGATTGTGTGGATCTACATTGTGACCAGCAAAAGGGGGAGCTGAAACCTCTGATTGGGAGCAGAGGAGATGAATCAAGGGAGTGGAGATGCAGCTTAGAAGAGGAGTGAGCCGCCACCATCCAAGATTGAAGCTTTGGATGGCTCCAACTATGAGGAATGGAGCGGGCGGATGCGGAGCGCCTTCAAGCGCTACAAGCTGCTGAAAATTGCAATGGGAGAGGAGAAGATGCCGGGGGAAGGAGATGCCCGCGATCGGTGGATTGAGAAGAGCGCGGTGCTGTACGACCTCATCCTCCAATCGATCAACAACGACATGTTCCAGCACATCAAGGATTTGGTGGAGTTGGATGATTCCGGACCGAAGGCATGGAAGCTGCTACGCGACGTGATTCAGCCCAACACGCTGCCGATGGTGATTGTGTTGGAGAAGGAGTTGGCTGCCCTCTCCATGAAACCGGGAGATGATGTGAAACCGGTCCTTGACAAGATCAAGGACACCTATGCGAGGATGGCAGCGGCGGGCAGCGAAGTGTCGCAGATGCAACAGTGCACCAAGATCATCTCGGTGCTCGACAACTCGTGGGACAACCTCATCCCCACCCTCAACGTTCAGCAGGACAAATGGACGCCTGAGTGGCTACGGCAGCAGATTCTGCAGGAG